TTGGATACTAGATTTTAACTTATTTGAAATTTGATTAGCATGAACTATTATTTTTTCTCGATTCAATGGTTGGATCGATGAAGATCACATAATAAGTTACTCAACTCAATGGTTGAAGTGTTTCTATTTCTTGTACTGGTACTGCTGTACCCTTGCCGTTCTTGGGTATTCTATCAGCTTCCCATGAAGAATTTCTGGTCTGTCATTCTATAGTATGTACTATTTACTAGTATCTAAACAAGAGGACAATGAAATGGAAGCCTGAGATGCAAGGGAAGTTTTGTAGGAGCAATTCTAGGAAGTTGGTGAATCTAGCAAATGCACCGAAGTCAATTTTTTATTAACAATAATGCATTTTTAATTGTTTTAATTTCAAATTGATTATACTCCTCCTTATACATTACAACGGGAGTGCTAGTAGGTGGTCCAATAATTCTGGATTTTTTTTTGTCACCATAGTATAATTAGTACTGCATAAACTAATGGAAAACATCAAGCCTTACATTGTCTTAGTTTCTTACATTTACTATTCTAGGGAATGAAGCAGAGACGAGCCCATGAAGCAAAAAACATTGCGCTTACTCAATCTGCTGCAGAGGCCTTCAGCCAAATGTCTAATGAAAAAAAGGTAATTTATTCAACAACAAAAGTTCATTTTCTTTAGATGTTTGTTCTACAGCTGAGGGAGATAAAAGGGGAAATGATTTTCAGTGTGAGTACCTGGTGGCTGAGATGTCTCTTTCTTGTTGTCACTATGATGGTAGAGTATAAGTGGTGGGGGTGTTTTTGTTAAGAAATTTTGACACCTGAGGAAGTTTTTGCCATGAGAGGGTTTTAGTAGTGTTCACCAAGCATCAGTGCTGTGAATTGTAATTTTTCTGCACATTTCTTCATTTTCTTTTCTAAAGTATATTATGTGATGAAATAACCTTAGAGGTAAAAACTGAAAAGGAAAGATATGCTTGTAAAAAGCATTGGAAACAAAAGAGAATGTCTATCTATGCAATGAGTTGTGTGGGGAGTGCCTATAGTTGTTTTGAGATTGGATTCCCTTGTTCATTGAGCATTCGAATTTAACTTTAAGACTTCTTTTTCGGCATCTTTTTGAGATAGAGATGGGGTAACATCTGCAATTCTCTATGATTTAGTTTGTTTTACTATCTGTTATGCACTTTTCATGATCAAATCCGTGATCAATATATGATTAATTTTGGTTATTTTAGTAGTCAACATAAGATCTTCAGAAATTGTTTATGTATACAAACAATATTTGTTTCATTGTTTTATTTGCAGAGTCTCAATTCTAAAGTCAATATAGATCGCCTGGAGGAATTATTCAATGATATGGTAATTCTCTTTAGAACTGTTTTACTTTTTGACACATGTAATAGTGATACACTTTTAGTTCCACCAATAAGAAAATATATTTGATATTAATGTCTTTATAAACTTTTTTATAAGAGGCAAAAGATAAAAGAAAAATTAAATAGATCAAATTTCTCTAATTAAAATAGTTTATACATATGTTAGTTTATCTTAGTTCTTCCTTTTGGCTTGTGTGTATGTCAATTTTAGTTCTTGAGGGAACTTTAACCTTTTTTCTTTCTTGTAAGTGTTTCTTAATATTCAGCTTGTCTGTATCTTTTGTTTCATACTGTAATCATTCAAATTACGAATCTTATTTCTTAAAGATATTGAAAGCATAGATCACTCAATAATCTGTTACTGCTTCATTCTCATGTATTGAAAGTTTCATTGACATTATAACAGTAAATGGAAGCTGCTTGCAAAGTTGGCACTTGATTAATCTTAAATACCTCCAGGGCTTATATGTTTGATAAAGTAATTTCTTTCTTCTCTTTTATTAAGTTTTGAAAGTTGAGTGGAAACTTGTTTTGACTATATACGTTTGAATAGTCTAGTTTGGTAGATAGGTTTTATGTGATTTGTAATTTTCTTTACATTCATCGGATGATTTTGCGTGACATTTCATTATTGATTTACTAGATAGATATCTATTGACAATTAACCTATGTTATTCTTAAAATCAAGGCAATTGGACTTTTCTCCAATTTAAATGTTTTTTCAATATTATTATAACACAGGAGGAGGATGAGATTGGACCAGCGGATGATTACTGAAACGTTACAAAGTGCCCTTTCTGCTTTTATTATCTGTTGTTTGCAGTTGCTATTCAGCATGGCTGGCTGCTGAACAGAAGATTGCCAGAGACTGAATTCTTTTTGTATGCTGAGTTTTTCCTCCTATTTTCTATTCACTCATCGCATTCATTTGCCAAAATTTTGGAAGTCTTTTTACAAGGAAATTGTTAGGTAGGTTTATCAGCATCACTCTCTTTTGACACAAAGCAATGCTTTGGTTGTGTTTCATATCAAAAGTCTACTTAACAAACCTGTATAGAATGTGTTTTGTTATAATAGGCAATGAATTCAAATGAAGGAAGGTGTTGAAAATATATTGGAATTCCTACATTTATTAAGTTATAATTTAAAAGTAAAATTTCACTTTAGTTTTATGAACATGTATAGAAATAGCATTTTATGAATGAGATTATAAATTGTTTCAGTATGATTATTTAGGACCAAGATATAAACCGTACTGATGATGCTTTACTACTTCTGAGCGTTTGGGACAACTGTTCTTCCTCCCAGTAGGAATGTCTTGACATCGCCCTGAGGTTGGATGCGATCGTCAACGTTGGTTCTGGGGTCAAGGTCGATCGCTGTTGTTTCCGCCCTTTTGATTTTTCTTGGTGGAACGAAGGGTGTGACTTTTAGACCAGTAACATAACATTGTCGAGCCGTCCGTTGATCTGCCCTTATTGTACAGACAATACCTCTTTCTAACAGGAATTTCATAGCTAAGTGAGGGGTGGATACGCTGGCTTCGAAGGCGTTCAAACAAGGTCGTCCCAGTAGTGCATATGAAGTGTTCGCCTCTACGAGTAAGAACCTTACCCTGAGCTGTCTTGCTTCTTTACCCGTTTCGAGTCGAGTTCTCAAGTTGAGATATCCTCAAGTATCTACTCTTTCTGTTGCGAACCCTACAATCTGCTCATTAAAAGGGACTATCAAATCTTCGGATAAATCCATTTTAAGGAATGTGGTCCAGTACAAGATGTTAACTGAACTGCCTTGATCGGTTAACACTTTACTGACATCATATCGTGCTATCTCGGCGGTGATGACCATGGGGTCATCATGATTAGGATTGGGAGTGTGGAAATCTGCGTCTGTGAAGGTGATGTTTGGCATAGATCGAGGTTGTCGATCTACCATGTGCACAGTCTTTAAGCTTCTCAAATGTCTCTTACGGGATGATGGTCCCCCTCCAGCGAAGCCTCCAGATATGGTGTCGATTTGTCCGACCTTTCACGTACAGGATCACGAGTGCGGCTTTGGCATCGTCGCCTTTGATGATCGTCTCTACGAGATAGGCGTTCGGGACTTTTATGCGAAGTTCCTCTCCTGGGGGGGCTTATTGCCCTATGTGCTTCTCCTTTTACATATTTTTGGAGATATCCCGCTCGGACAAGTCTTCCTATCTCATCTCTTACTATGTTGCATTCTTCTGTGTCATGACCATGGTTTTGTTGGAGACGACAGGCTTTACTTTCATCAACATTTTTTGGTGAGGATTTTCGTCGAACAGTGAAGAGTTCAGTGTGCAGAGCCTCTTCGAGTATTTTTGCTCTGGGTGCGTTAAGAGCAGTATAGCGCTCATATTTGGGTGTCCAAACTAACTCCTTTCAAGGAGGCCTGTCACCTTTATTGTCATTAGACGATCGCTTCACCTTCTTCTTGTTCCCATTATTGGGAACCTCTTGCTGTTGCTTTCTCCTTGAGTTTCGAAGATCCTCGATGTGTATGAATTTTGCGATTGTTTCTTGGAGTTCTTCCATAGACTTCGGTGGTTTAGCATATACCTGTTCAACAAAATACCTTGGTCTTAAACATGAGGGTAAATTACTTATTATGAAGGTGTGATTTGCGTCTTTCACTCGTCTTGCAGCCTCGTTATACCTCTGCATGAACGCTCTCAGCGTTTCATCCTTCTCCTGTGTAGTGTTTACTAGCTCTGTCGGCATCATCTCCTGTCTTCTATTGGCGACATACTGTCTTCTGAATAAAGCTTCTACCGTGGCAAAACAGTCTACCGTGTTCGGAGGGAGGGTGTGGTACCACTCCAATGCTTCATCTTTCAAGGACAAGGAGAAAGCTCGGCAAATGACTGGGTCGCTATCCGTGTAGAATGCCATCGCATGAATAAAGTTTCTGAGGTGATTATCTGGTCCGCTGAGCCGTCGTATCTTTCTAATGTTGGAGGGGGTTTCTTCGGCATAGTAGTTTGCATGATGGCTTCCATAAACGGAAGCAGATTGGTGAGTCGAAAGGATGTGGGTTCCTTTCTTCTTCCCCGTCAGGTTCGGACTGCCCTCCATGACAGATACCTTCATATTCATCTTGTCTGTTTGAGGCAGACACCTCAGGTGAAGGCCGTTGCGCTCTCAACGTTGCAATCTCCTTCGCTTGTCTGCGCTGAGTCTCTTGCTGCTCTTGTATGGTTCTTGCATGCGTCTCAATATGGGCTTGTAGCTGTCTAATCAAATCTCTGGTGTTGTTATCCTCCATAGTTCTTGTGGTCCTTTTTGAGTATGTTCAAATCTCGGCCCCACGGTAGGCGCCAAAATGTTTCAGTATGATTATTTAGGACTGAGATATAAACTCTGCTGATGATGCTTTACTACTTCTGAACGTCTGGGACAATTGTTCTTCCTCCAATGATATCAGATGCTCACCCTTCTGTAACTTGTTCGTACTCTTCTCCCTAGTGTAACGCGTCCTCCTTAATGGAAGTGGGTGGGGTACCTGCAAAGATACTCTGATGCTAAAGTCAGATATTGATTATGGAACCTCAGTTCTCAAAACAAGTGATCTTTTAATATTTTAGTCTTAGAGCAAAACGTACATTTTTTCCTTCGTTTCTCTTGTATGTAATGTAAACAAAATGTAAAACCAACTGATTACTTTAAAATCCGGTTAGTTGTCATGATCCACGTTATTCTTAAGATCTGGTTATTTGCCCGCTTAATCCGCGTTATTCGTGTCAGATATTTTGGACTATTTGAACTATTGGTCCAACTACTTAAATGTTGGGTTAATTTGCCCAATATCGTTTGACTGAATTGAGCGTCCGTCGAATCCGGTTTGGTCGAATTGATTGAGTGTCGCTTGAATTTTTAACGTGCGCTAACCTGATTATCTTGGTTTGGCAAGCGCTTTTAACTTTGGTTGAATTGACGATCGTCTGATAGAGATGGCGAACGTTTCTACAGTGGGTACAACAATCAGTCTTGGTTGATAACCGCTCGCTTTGGATATAATACTATACACCTTGCTTTTAAATTCCTACACTTTAATTGAGTATCGTTCTTGCGGTTTGGTTAAATCGAATTAATTTCTAGGCCTAGACACGAGAATAGGAAAAATAACATACACTCATCAACCATCATACCTTCACATAAATATTCATTATAGCATCTTAATTATGACATAGAATGATCTGAAAATAAAAATAGAAAATAAGAAAAGAAAAAGTATATGAAAAAAAAAATTGGAACAATATATGTTAGATACCATTGAATTTTGTTTAAGAGTTCATCTTTGTGAAAATAAGAGAATTAGGATTCAAAATGATGTGTGACGAGTTTTCTCTCTTCACAAAAAAATGAATTATCCATTGCACCTTCTTTGAGCCAAAACTGATATTTCTTTCAAATTGTTCCTACACAAGGAATAACAACATGATAAGTTCATCTCAAATCATAATGATCAAAATACAATGAACTATATTAGTCAAAAAGAGGAATTGATTTAAGATCAAGTGAAAAAAAAAAGAAATATGAAATCGAGTTCAATTGGAAAAATGAAATATGAAAATAGAGTTACAAAGTGATAGCAATACAAAGAAAAATATATGAAAATAATGTTGAAAATACAAAAATGATCAAAGTCTTCATAGGACAATCAAGATAACGTCATGCTAATAATCCTTGTGTCAAAAATAAACCCATCAACATTTCATTTGGACCTTTGTACCTTTTCTTTAAAAATCCTTTCAATCCTTGTCCATGTTACAAGCCAATAAAGCCCACATTGATTGGAAAATGATTGTTCTGACTTTATGATGTTGTTGCCAAAAAAATATGAATAAAAAAGAGAAAAATGATAAAGCCTCTATAGTAATATCTTCCCATAAGAGCTAATTTGTTGGGGGAAATTCACTCCATGTTGTACTAGCCACTATTCAACCAAATTAATTCCTCCAAATCATATTTTTGTCCTAGAAATTCAGATTGTGGCAACTTTTTGAATCTCGTGATCTTTGTTAAGTGTCCTTGAGTTTGTGAAGAAAGAAAATAACCATTGTGATTCAAGATATACCCTATGTTGTCTGTTCACCTAGTGATTATATGATGTGTCACAAGGAAATGTTAACCTTATCACATCCTACATTGACAATTGATATTAGGATTTGCAAGACCCTTCATTTTTATCTATGAAGAAATGTCATACAAAGAATTTGATGATTATGGAAACAATTGATTTTGAAATGCTGAAATTTAAAAAGAGAGAGAAAAATATAAAAGTACTTTATTTTTTTTAAGAAAATAAACATGAAGAAGGAGAAGTTTCTGAGGAAAAAAATTCAAGAAAATAAAGTTTTTGAAAAAAAAAATCAAAAATCAGAATTCAAGAAAAAAAAGCTTTTGAAAAAAAGGTCAAACTTCAAATAAGTTAATCCTCAAAACAAATTTTGAATGAATAAAATGTTTCGATTATGGTTACCAGATACTTTAGATATAGGCTATCTCTTTTGTGGTGGTTTTATCTATTTTCACATAAAATTTTTGAATGAAGAAAATGTTTTGATGGAAACTGGTAATGGTCATCTGATGCTTTGCATATAGGCTAACTCTTTGGTAGTGGTCTAATCCATTTTCAAATGAAATTTTTGAATCAAGAATGATTGAGACCAGTAATGGTCACCAAATGCTAGGATATAGGTTATCTCTTTGGTAATGGTCTAATTCATTTTCAAATGAAGATAAAAATTTCAAGGTTTAATGTCTCCGTAAGTCCTAATTTTGGTCTTGAATCTCAAATAGGTCCTCTTTCTTTTCAGCGTATCAATTGAGTCCTTGTTTTTGTAAAATTGAAGCAATTAGAGGTCTGTCGTCAAATTGGACAAACGACCGTTTAAGTATGGGTTACGTGGCATGGTGAGTGTATTTACTAAGCACACGTGACATTAAAAACGATTTTTGTATTAAATAATTTGTA